AGGTGCTTGTCTTCCCGTCTTGTGGTTGGATGTCATATGGTAGGTGACCTTCATGTCCCTAGTTCCCTCTAATATTCCCTTAGACAGTGGTGTCTTTTGGTGCTGCCTGGGTATATCAACAAATGTCTTTCCTGAGGCATGAGGGAGACCCAGAGGAGGTGCAAGGAGGTGAATGATGGGATCCTCAAGGCACTTCTAGCTCCTGTGGAGAGACGCTCAGCACAGCACGCGGCCAGGCAAGAGATGATCGGGGGCTGGGCAACCAGTCCCCAAAATGTGGCCTTTTCTGGGGCCTCAAGAACAGACAGCACGAGCCTGGAATGTGTGAAGTGTGACTGATCGCCACGAACGTGTGTTTTTCCAATATTTCTATGTCTCTAATCTAGTGGCAGATGAACTGAGGTCACCCCGCTCCCAGGCAAGGCCGTGCTTGAGGAGTAACAGGGAGTAGCATGAAGTTTGGGGGAAGGTTTATTTTGCAGGATAGGAAATAAAGGCAGACGGGAAGCACCATGACCTTAGTCTATAGAAGAGATTTTTGGGAAGTAGAGCTTCCAATTTGGAAGGAAAATACAAATGTCTGAAGGAGAAAGATTAAGTTTTGAGTAGGGCTGGCCGTGTGGTGGATGCTGTCATCTTCCCCTCTGGCTCTCCCTGTTGCCTCAGGCAAGTCTTCTACGTCGATTTGCATGTTGTTGTCAGGAGTTAGTGAGTACAAACAGAAGCAGAGGGACACACAGATCCCCTGGGTTATGAGCTGAACCATGCCGGCTTCTCCTTGACCGTGTAGGTGTCTTCATGCTCCAAAAAGTCATTCTCCACAACACGGAAGCAGAGTTCCCTGTTTTCAACAGATCAGCCAGGCTCTGCATGCTTTTAAGACGATGTCTTTCTACTACGGCGTCAGCAAAGAAAGCTTCTACTTCGTACTCTGTGACTCGTACTCTATGATCGGCCCAGAGGAGGAGTTTTCTGCTTTGAGGCTAAGAAAACAGATCAACATCTCTCTCTTCTGTAGGTGAACATGGACGGGAGCCGGCCACAGTCCATCTAGCTGACAGAATGCAAAAGGAACACTGGGGGCCACAAAAACTAAACACACCGTCCCCTTCGGTTTCTTGAAGGTTGTGTTTCTCAACGTGGCTATTCACTGGAATTACCCACCCCCCCACCAAGATTCTGATCTAATGGGTCGGAAGTTTGGCTTAGACTTTTGGGGATATCACTGAATGTGAAAGCGAAGAGCTCCAACCCTGTCTCCTTTTTGATTCAGCTCTAAAGTGTGCTCTCAATAAAATGTTCCAGCTGCCCCAAAGCAATTCCGGAGCCAGAGACAAGTTTAAGTAGGTTTCAGATGCAGACTCCAAGGCTGTCCGTCTGCCACAGTCTTAGCAGAGCTGCACACACGGGGCAAGTGTCGACCTTCAAAGGGAAGTGATTCCTGCCCATGAGCTTGTATGAGATGTCTTGATTTGCATCCGTACCAGGGATGTCACAGAAATGGTTTTAAGGCCAAGTAATCACACTCACCAGCAAAACCAAGTCTTGAGACCCTAACATCAAATTCCTCTGTAACAATCTCTTCTATGAAAAGTAACTCTTTGTTCCTAGCAGCCTTAGAGATATAGGCAGACAGCCACGGAAAGTCATTCTGCTCACACCAAAAACAAGAGGAACAATTTTCTACGGGCAGGCACCTTTGACCTCTGCTTTTCAGTTTTTTCTTAATAAACTGGTCTCAGAAATTGGGCCACAGAAGCTGCTGGTGGCAATCTCTTAGAGTAAGTGGGTAAAAGGGAAGCTGGGGGAGAAATGGCAAGGAACAGACAACCACTCTGATGAGGAACTCTGAAGCAATGCAATTATTCTTCCATCTAGAGATAGAAGGGGTTATGCCCCAGCACAGTGACCAGAAACCCAGCGGTGCGAGGACAGACTCAAGAGAGCAGGGTGATCTCACGCCAAGTTTCCTGGCTCAAAACCATTCCTCTGTGGTTCACACCTGGCACTGATTAATAACATAACTTCCTTTGATGAGCTAGTGTGCATTAACTTCCGCTGAAATTTCCCTGTGGCCGAGTCCCGCGTTTGTGCCTCCTTGAGGGCACCGTGGGGCCAGCCCCACTCAGGAGGGGGGATGCCGTGTGCTGTTCTGCACAGAGGTGGGGCTCACCCGGGGGCTGTCCTTTATAGAGTGGCCACAGACTCAGCATTGTCGGTTTTCTCTTTGAAGGGATAAATCAAACACTAAGAACAGC